ATACATCCCATAATACTGATGATTAAAGTTGGTTATAGAGAAGATTTAACAGAAACCAGATCCAGTGTTCAGACTGTGACACCTGCATGGATGTGAAACTGGTTTTGTTGCTCATTTTGTGTCTGATTTCTGTTGTTTTTTACTAATTTTTCTTACTTTTTGTCTCCTTTCTGTCATCTTGCGACAGTTTTGTGTTGTTTTGTGTCTTTGGGATTTTTTCTTTCTCATTGTTTGTTGCTTTTCTCATTTTGCGTCCCTCTTTCTCTGTTCTGTGTCCTGTTTTCTATTTTTTTATTTGCTTTTTTGGCATTTCATGTCTCCTTTGTTTTTTTACTTTGTCTAGATTTTGCGATTTTATGTTTTGTTCTTCTAGTTTTGTGTCATTTTTGTCATTTAGTGTTTAGTTTCCATCGTCTCTGGGACAGTTTTAGTGTCTTTGTGGCGAGAAACTACGATACATCCCATAATACTGATGCTTAAAGTTGGTTATAGAAAAAAATGATCAGAAACCAGATCCAGTGTTCAGACTGTGACACCTGGATGGATGTAGAACTGATCTGGTGTCAGGTTCTACCAGAACTCAGACGTGTTCTTCCTCCTAAACGTCATGTGTCTGTCTGCTGGACTGATGAAGTTCTGAGGCTCAGAAATGACGGAAAAAGTCCATAAAAAGCAACAAATTCTGACCTCTGAGGGCCTGAACCTGTGAAAATATTCACAGTATGAAGGTGAAACTTTAAAGACGTCGTCTGTGCGCCACTCCGTCGTTTCTCCAGACCCGTTTTGTTTCCTGTCACTACCCGAGTCTTTCTCCTCCCTCGCTGCAGGAGTGGGACTACGCCTACGTCCACAGCTTCTACCACCTGTCTCTGGCCGTGTCCTTCGTCCTGCTGCTGCCCAAGAGGAACCGATACGCGGGGACGGGTCGGAACGCCGCCAAGCTCAGCTGCTTCGCCCTCTGCTGCTGCGTACGTCACCTTCGTTCGGCACCAATCGGGTGGAGGGAGCTGTAGACGGGTCGGCAGAGGGCCGTACAAAATAATGTGAACGCTCCACAAACTGATACTGAAACAGGAAGTAAATACAGAATATAGAAATATGCTAAATTAAAAATAATAATAATAATTCGAGCCCTAATTTACACGAGATCATGTGAATATTTTGGCTACTTGATCATTAATTTGTTTAGATGTGAAAAAAACAATGAAATTACTCATCAAATCTATCAGAACTTATCACACATGTATGATTATTGTTTTTCCGGCTGCATTCTACTATTTGGTGTTTTGGTCTTTGGATGTTAACAAAAAAAAAACATCGTATTCACAGTCACAGGTTTTTAATGTTATTTTACGTTGGAGCGTCTGTTTAGTTCAACTGTTTCATCTGTAAAACAAACATGAGATATTTACTTTATTTAATATATATAATGTTTTATGTCATTTGTATTTTTTGTGGAAAATTAGAATTTTTGAAATGTTATTTTACATTAGATGTAATTTCATTTATTGATATTTTTATGTACAGTCGTGACTCGATAATCCGACACTAAATGTAAAACCTTCTTTTATGTCGGATTGTCAANAACGTCTGTCTGCTGAAAACATGACCAGAACTTTGCAGAACTTCACACAGAACCTGTGTACTGACTGTGTCGTCCTGTTGCTGCTGCAGCTGCAGAAGATGAAGCAGCTGAGGTCGGTCTATCCGGAGAAGGCGGTTTACACGCAGCAGGTGGGTCCAGGATGCTGCTTCGGCGCTCTGGCTCTGATGCTCAGGTTCTACTTTGAGGTGAGTCTCCTGCGAACAAACAGATAAACACCAGAACATATGTGGGTCCTGTCATCGTCTAGACCTGGTTCTGACCAGCCACCATCACACATGCTGACATGAGCCTGGACAGTTTACCCAGAACCCTCACAAACACACCATCCCCACTGTGAAGCACGGCGGTGGCAGCATCATCGAGGCCAAAAACAGAAACACACTCAGGACACCACTGATTGTTTCTATGGTTACTGAATAATTTAGAAACATTAGAGGCCATTTTGCTGAATGTTTAACTCATTCATGGCACCTTTAGAATCCTTCTGGTTCATTTTTGAGTAATTTTGGAGACATTCTGGATCATTTTTGCCCCATTTGTGACTAAATTTCAGACAATCTTCTACGACTCCATGTCAAAAACGATGATACATCCCATAATATTGATACTCAACGATGATGGATGGACAGTTTTTAAGTCATTCTGGACATTATTTTGAATATTTTTGAACATTTTAAGTCATTCTGGACACTTATTGGTTATTTAGTTGAATGTTTAACTCATTCAGGGCAGCTTTTGAGTAATTTTAGAGAAACTCGCTCATTTTGTCACATTTCGGACTAAATTTAAGATAATTTTCTACGACTCCGTGTCAAAAACATTAAACTGCTGCAGTTTTACTGTTAAACCTGATACATCCCATAATACTGATGCTCACAGCTGGTGGATGGAACATATTTAAGTCATTCTGGACCTTATTTATAATAAATTTAACCACTTTGTTGTTCATTTAGCTGAATGTTGAACTAATCCAGGACACGGTTT